AGGACCTGGCTTACTAACAAACTTTGATGAACAAAGAAAGGGCAAGGCCTTATGGCCTTTCTAGCCTTCAGTGTCGGCTGAACACAAAACCAAAACAGCAAGCAAGGCAGGTGGAGCCAGCTCCTCTAAAATCAGCTTCACACCTGCACCGGGAGCCCAGAGCTGCTGATTCTAGAACTCCAGACTCCAGCTGCTGAGGATGAGGAGACTAAGTAGATACCCAGATTCAGATCCTTCCACCTGTTCCCTCAAAGAAGCACTGGAGGGGGAAGGGTGCAAAGTCAGATTTAATTTTGAACTTAGAGCATAGATTCTATTTTCACTGACAAGGTGACAGAAGAAACTCACAGACCAGCCCAGAATCACTCAGAGAAACTGCTTGGGGGTTGTTATGATCAGATGGGAAGGTTTCTAGAGTCTAGAAAGACCCACAGGTTTCCTGAAGGGCTGCTTGCAGACACATAACCCAGGAGCCCCAGGACTGCACAAATGACAGAGGTGCTGTTGCTGCTGAAGACAGAAGGTGAAGGTTGTCCTGATGGACAGAAGGTGAAGCTGTGAACCGTCTGCGCCCTATGCTGGAATGGGCTGCTGTTGCTATGAGTGATGGATCTATAGACAGCGAGCTTTCAGTAAACATGACGCCTGTCCCTGCCTTGCCTGGTGTCTGTGTCTTTTTTTTTTTGGTCAGTCATGGGGCTTGAACTCAAGGCCTGGGTACTGTCCCAGGGCTTTTCAGCTCAAGGCTAGTGCTCTACCACTTGGAGCTACAGTGCCACTTCCAGTTTTCTGGTAGTTAATTGGAGTTAGGAGTCTCATGGGCTGGCTTTGACCCATGATCCTCAGATCTCAGCCTCCTGTAAGTAGCTAGGATTACAGGTATGAGCCACCAGCACCCAGCTGTCTTTGTCTTTTGACCTGCCCAAATCCAAGAAGAATCTGAGAAGAACCCGCAACTTCCCCAGCAAAGATGGGACTTGCTGGGTGGTCCACAAACCTGAAGTGTCAAGAATAGCATCTACAAGGTGCCTAGACACCATGTACCTCCTCCAGTCTCCCCAGTGCGCATGCGAGGAAAAGTTAGTCTCCATGGTCTCTGTGTGTGTAAAGGGAAGTTATTGAAAGGCTAAAACCAAACCCAAGGGATCCCAGCATTCTTTCTTTCCATACAAAGGAGTCATAGGAGACTATGGAAGGGTAGAGCTGGCCTTAACTACATTTGGCCTAATAAACATTTTGCAATACAATGATGCAGACAATCGGCCCAGAGATTCGCTGAAAATAACAGGTGAATGTGAGATACATACACACGAAGCGAGTTCTCTGAATAAATAACATGAAAAAAAATTAGAAAATGAAAAGAGATAATGAGATACCCACAACCAAAAGGAATTGTCTTAAATGGCTGATTGTAATGAGATGTACATAAATTGTAAGGCTTGTAATGAAATGAAAAAAAAAATCATATTCTTGCCCGATCATACTGGGTGTGTAACATCTACACCTGAAATAAGGCATCGCAGTGCACGAGTATAATGAGATGCACATAATTTTAAGAGCGTAATGAGATGAAAAATAAATCAAACACTTGTCTTAAAATGAAAGATGTACTAAGAAGCACACACCTGAAGGGCATTGTCCTAAATGGGTTCAATTTAATGAGATGCATTTAATTTGCAAAGGGGCTAAATGAGATTGGCCCAGAGAGAGGCTGAGATGTATAAAAGTCGAAGACACACTTGAAAGTGGTATAATAAAAGCTGCCTCCTCTGTAAGATGGAAATAAGATGTCAAAGGGGAAACACACCAGCATTTTGCCATCAAGTCTTCCAGCTGGTCCTTGGTACTTAGCCCTTAGCTTCTTGACCCCAAGCGGACGCCAGGAACAGAGCAGGCAGCAGTGAGAGCTCATTGAACCACTGGGACCAACCGGGGCAGTGATAGGGGAAAAGAAAATGGGAAGAAGCTTTTATAAAGGAAAGAGCTTCCACTGGCAACTAAAACATTCCCCTCCTTCTTCCTTGTCTTAAAAACAAAAGATGCATTAGGAAATAGATACCTGAAAAGCACTGTCATAAATGGGACCTCATCGGTACCCCAGCAAGGCAGTTCATGGGAATCCATCAACTCCCATGAGCAAGATCTCAAAACCCAAAGAGTCAGGTACAGAGGTTATTCTGAACAAGTTCCTCTTTGCACTAAGGAATTCCCCCCTGCCCCTCCCCCACGGTCCCATCTGTCTTATGACCACAGGGATGATGGGACATCTTCTCCTTGAGTTGGGCAGCGTTAGGGGTGATGCAGACACAGGGTTCTCTGCCTCCTTAAAACACAACCACTGCATCCTAAACCATTTAGAAAAGCCCTGTTGGATTGGCAACGTGGTTAGAAAAATGAGGAAGGGAGGGGAAGGGAAAAAACAAATTGTTTAAACAGGGATACAGATGGACCCATTGCAACTAATGAGATGTACAAGATGCAATGTCAAAAACGAACTTTACAACTTTGGCGGTGGGGGGGGGGGCAGTGAGTGTAGTTGTGGAGATGGGAGGGAAGGGATGGTAGGGGAAAAACAAAGGAGGAGGCAACAATGCTTGATAAGAAATGTACGCATTACCTTGCTCATGTAATTGTAACCCCTCTCTACGGTATTTTCATAATAAAATAAATAAAAAATGAGGGAGGGGGTAACAAGTTGGACAAGAAATGTATTCACTACCTTACTTACGTAACTGTGACCCCTATGTACATCACCTTGAGAATAAAATTAAAGTTAACAGCTCAGAACTCAATATATCAAACAATCCAGGGGAGGGGAGAGGCTGGGCTGGCCACCATGTTGTTTCTTTTTTTTTTTTTTTTTTGGGTCCGGTTGTGGGGCCTGAACTCTGGGCCTGAGCGCTGTCCCTCAGCTCTTCAGCTCAAGGCTAGCGCTCTACCACTTGAGCCACAGCGCCACTTCCGGCTTTTTTCTTATGTGGTGCTGAGGAATCGAACCCAGGGCCTCATGCATGCAAGGCAAGCGCTCTACCACTGAGCCAACTTCCCAGCCCTGCCATGTTGTTTCTTTAGAGTAATATTCCCTAAAGCGTGTCTTGCAGAATCTTGAATAGATATTACTTGAAATAAACAAAAAAGAAGTGACAAATCTGGGAAACAGAACAAAGTTAAGCAAGTTTCTTTCCTAAAGGACTTTTTGGAGTTGTTAGTGAGCTAAGGTGCATCTTAAGTTTTTTTTTCCTTTTTCTTTCTTTCTTTCTTTCTTTTTTTAACAGAAGTATAAGTATTCTCTTTTTCTTGATAGAATGTCTTTTAATGATGTACTCTTTGGAAACCACTGCTTTAAATGATAATGCAGTCAGTCTTGCTGCTGCAGGGAGGTAAAGTTCTTTTAATGAATTATCTCCTTGTTCATCTTGACTTTCTTATCTGTCTGCAGAGGAGAGTCTCTGCTGAGTTTGCAGAATTCTCCAGGTGACAGGGGTGGGTTGGTACTGGGATCTATAAGAAATACAGTGACCCAAGCCAGGGGCTAGTGGCTCATGCTTATAATACTAGCTATTTGGGGGGCTGAGATCTGAGGATCATGGTTTGAAGCCAGCCTGGGCAGAAATGTCAGTAAGACTCTTATCTTCAATTAACCACCCAAATGGCTGAAAGTGGTTCAGGAGGTAAAGTGCTAGCCTCGAGCACAAATGCTCATGGACAGTGCCCAGGTCCTGAGTTCAAGCCCCAGGACTGGCAACACACACATCTCAGGGAGCTGTCTGGATGATCCCAGGGAGGCCCATTTGCATGTATAACCCCACCCCCCCAGTCCATCCTCAGCCTGGATCTAATAGATTCATGGGAATGTGCAGACTTGCAACCTTTGTAATTATGAACAAGGAGGTCCTAACAGTTTCTAAGCAGACGGCCCAGACATAACAGCAATGGAGCACAAATAAGGAGAGCTGTGGTCTGAGGCTGACAAGACAGCCTTCCAATCACTTGTGTGGGGAAATGTGCTGCCCCTTCTTTCCCCAGTAAATGCAGTGCAGATTGGCCCTTGGAATTCCAACGATGGCTCCTTCTGTATACAGCTGTGGAGTTAAAGCCACCGTTCAGGATCTATCTCCTTTCAGGTCCTGGGACCTTTCACCTATGAGACAAGGCAAGGTGCACATATGAGAGTAAAGTGTGGAACCCCAGCTCGGATGAAAATCCCCAGCCTAGGGTTCAGATGAGATGGGAAGTATGAAAGGCTTTGAGGACGGTGTTGAACCATGGAAGGACCAGAGCTCGCCTCTGCAGTGGGGAGAAACTGCCAGGAGAGGGCAGAAGAGAGCTTCCTTCTGTTTTTCTCTCTACTCTCTTTGTTTCAGATCTAGTCACAGGCACCAGGTAAGCATGCCAAATTGAGCCTAACGGAGGTGCTACTTTGTCCCTTTCTGTTGGTACTCAGTTCAATGAAGTCAGTTCTAGATGCTGTCTGGCTTAGAGTCCATTCCACTCAAGGAACAAGGGACTTCTAGATCAGCCATAGGAAAAGAGAATTGCACACCAGAATGATGGTTGGTAATAAGATTTACTGAAAACTTCTCGGCCACATTCAGTTTGGTGGATACATCAGAAGGAGGTTGTATAACATTAGGCAGGTGGAGAGGGCTAGGAGGAAGAGATGTGGGCACGTGTGTGTGTGTGTGTGTGTGTGTGTGTGTGTGTGTGTGTGTGTGTGTTGGGAGGAGGGTGTTTGTGCAGGTGGGATGCTTGTCCAAGTGGTGAATGGAAGGGGTATGTGTGGTGTGTGCGCATGTCTGTGAACAAGAAAACTGAATCAGAAGAGGACATATATTTTATCCCACTGCACAACCGTGAAAGTCTCACGCCCAAAAAGCTTAGACTTTCCCCTAGCTCAAAAAGGGAGTAAAAAAATGATTGGACCACCCAGATTATAAATAAGGTTATTTGTGTCTCAAAAACCCCTATTAAAACATTAAATATCAGCTCTTTTTTGGGGAGAGGGGGAAATACATTCATTTCAGGGAGACCTCAGGATATTGATGATCCTTTTCTTCACCCAACCAGACAGGAGAGGGAACCCCAGAGAGCCCTGAGGTTCCCCTCCAATTAGCCAGGTAAGCCTGCCACTGAAAGAGATGGCTAATGCACAATTTACAAATGAAACTGCATGTCCATTAAATTAAACCCAATGAGAAAAACACACATGGGATCAGGCCTGTCATTCACGGCCATGGGGTTGGGAGGGAACAGGAGAAATGGGTGCCAATCGTGGGGCTTGGATGTTGGGCTGGGAGGGTGTGTGTAGGGGGTGGGCAGATGGTAGAATGTCCCCTCCTCCCAGGATTCCTAGTTTCTTCCAGCGCTGGGTGGAGTGGAGGGCTGCAGATCAGCGAGGTGGAGAAGGTGGGCACCTGGGTAGGCTTTTTGGTGCATGACCTCCTGCCATTTTGGATACTGATGGGAAGAGGGTTGCAGCGCTTTCTCCAAATCCTGCCTTCCCATGGAGCCGATGCTTCTTTCCAAAGGTGGTTCTGCTTTCTCTGAAGGATAAAATGAAGGAGGGAAGTCGAGGCAGATGGTTCCAGTTCAAGAGCAGAGGAATTCCATGGGGACCAGAGGGGTGGGAAGACTCCTAAAGCCACCCAGGATGCACCGCTCTGCAGGTCCACAAAGAGCGTGGAACATCCAAGGAACTCCATCTTGGGCTGGAGACGTCTAGGGTCAAAGACCATTGTTGTTACCAGAGCTGAGTTATGCGACCTTCCAAGCGACAGGTACCATCTCTAAAGTCATCTTACTTTGGCTTCCTCATCCAGATTCTGCCACTTCCTTGGTTCTTGAAGCCAACCCAGATGGAGAAACTTCTTTTTTAACATCTGACAAGTTGAACTCACCAGCTGACAATGTATTGCCAAGAGGGAGAGAGAAAGAGAGAGGGGAGTCTCTTCTGGCTTTCTTCCCTCTCTCCCAAGTCCACGTTGCTGCCGAGTCAGAGCCCTGGAGAACTGAGCCAATGTCCTATGGAACTCAGTTCCCACTCCGGTCTGCAGGGGGTGTTGTTACCTGGGGGGCCCTCCATGCCTCTGGCCTCTGGTTATGCTTTTGGGCTCTCCCCTGCCTTCCGATGTCTCTCAAAGGAGCTGAGATCCTTCTGGAGGGGTAGATGCTAGAATCGTTTTGTCTCTCCCTTCCCTCCCAACCCTGTCCCCTGGCACAGGCTCACTCTGAAAACAGCACCTTATCTACCTCATGGTGCTTGTAAACAACTCAAGTCCTTCTATGGGGACCCCCCAGGGGGCCATCTGTTCTCAAGAAGTTGATGAGTCCAGATCTCACTTCTGTCTTTCTGTGTAGGCTGTTGACCAGCCCTGCCAAACAGAGTCCTCCACAGTTCTAGGGGAAGGGGGGCTGGGTGCTCACTGATGCTTGGTAGTTGGGAAGAAGCAGGATATCTCCTCTGCGTTTCCTCGAGCTACTGATTTGGAAGCCAGGCCCAACTTCCTCTGTGGTGCCCGCCCATATCCCCCCACCCTACCCCACACCCTCCTGATGACACTCCTCGCTTGCTCAGTGACCAGTGCCAACTGGGCTGTCCAACTACTCCAGGGAGTCACTGTGTTCTAAGCCCAGGTCACTGACGTTCGTCGTCTGCAGCTCGTCGGCCTCCTCTTCCAGCTCCTCCTCTTCCTCTTCTTCCTCCATCTCATCCTCATCCTCTTCTTCTGTCCCATCCAATGAGTCATCATGGGCCGCCATCATGGCCTGCTGCATGGCCATGGTGGCATTGTCTGAGGAGAGAGACTGCAGGTTGTCCAAGTTGATGGAACCTGAGGGAGAGAGGGCAAAGGTCAGGGCTAGGCAAGGGCTGGTGGTCAGGCTCAGCAATGCAAGTGTTAGGCAGAGATGGATGGACTGGTTCCTGGGGTGGTGAGGGCACCCAACCTTCCCCTGCCCAAACATTCCTTGACTCCTCAGCTTTCCCCTCCCCCTTCCCCAGCAGCGCTGCTCATGCTCATGACCACACACGCTGCACTGTGTGAAGCCCTTTTGACTTTCTACTGTTTGTTTGTTTTCTTTTTCTTTTTCTGTCAGCCCTGGGGCTTGCACTCTGGGCCTGGGCGCTGTCCCTGAGCTTTGCAGCTCAAGGTGAGTGCTCTACCACTTGAGCCACAACGCCACTTCCAGTTTTCTGGTGGTTAATTGGAGATTAAGAGTCTCCCGGACTTTCCTGCCCGGACTGGCTTTGAACCTCAATCCTCAGATCTCAGGTGTGAGCCACCGGTGCCTGGCTTCTTTCTACTAGTTCTGTAAGACAGAGGTTTACTGTGCCCTTCAGAAGAGATTTAGTCACAACCAATTAAGCTATGAACTCAAGCTGACACAGTCAGTGGTGATGGAATTGAGATTCTTTCCCGGCCTGGCCTAGCCCGGGCCCCCTTCCCCCTCCAATCTAGGGGTTACAATCTACCTCCTAGAATGGTAACCCATCTCATAGGAGCCTGCCCACAACCATATGGGTGCCCAGAAGCAGGAAGGTGTGTGTGCACACGTACAGCGTCTCCAGCCTACTGCCCACACAGCCGTCCTCACACGCCAAGTTCTAAAATGTCTGGCTGATTGAATTATTCATGGTGCACTAGGCGACTGGCAATTAGAAGGGAGAGTGTGTGTGGAGGGTGTGATGGGGAGGCTGGGAGAACAAAGCTCCTCCTGGCCTCTCTGTTCACAAGCCAGCTGCCTGCCTTGGTATTTATAGATGCCTCGGACTTGGGGGAGCCGTGCAGACACGGGCTGTGCTGAGCAACTCAGGGGCTTGTGGGAGTGAGGAGGGGGCTCTGCTGAGCCGCCACCGACTCCGATGACCACGCATGCCCGCTCATCTTTGTGAGCTTGCTGGTGGCTGGTTAACGTGTATACAAGAGGATGGGCCTGGAAAAAAAAAGCATGTTAAGTGAAGTCAGGCTCCAAGAGACAAAGGATGTATGTTTCCTCTCGTTGGTGCAAGTTAGATCTAAATTACAGATAGATGTGAACATGTACAGGATCGTATGTATAAATACACAAGCAGATTTTAACTAAAGGATGGTATTCTGCAGGCGAGGATTCTAATGGTGTCACTCTGGTGTAACAGCTAACCTACAGTCTAACAAAATGAACACCGGGAAGCTGGAGCATGTGTGATGCGGAGAGGTGTATGTCAAGGGTAGGGGCACAGACGAATGGGAATAAAGTCATAGCCTTCAATGTACACATGTGCAAATGGAATCAAGTAACTTGAGGGAGGGGCTGGGTGGAGATGGAAGGGGTGGGAGAGGATGACGAAAGGGTGACATTGATTAAGACGCACTGTATTCACAAATTGACACTGAAACCCCTTTGAGCCCCCTCTGTACAAAAGATCTTTTAAAAATGCTGGGTACTGGCAGCTCATGCCTGTAATCCTAGCTATTCAAGAGGCTGAGATCTGAAGATCCCAGTTTGAAGCCTGCCCTGGCAGATGAACCCAAGAGTCTCTTATCTCTAATTAACTACCAACAAGCCAGAAGTGGAGCTGTGCTCAAATGGTAGAGCACTATCCTTACGCAATAAAGCTCAGGGACAGCACCTAGGCCTGGAGTTCAAGTCCCTGGACCAGAGTCCATGCACACACACACAGACACACAGACACACACTATATCTATATATCTATATCTATATGCAGTAACATCCACTTCTGTAAGGCTTTGATGGGAGCACATTCATGTGCTGGACTAGCAATGGGGTTGGGGGAAGGAGTCAGTCCACCTTTGCATTTTTGCTTCCAGGAGACCTCACATGCTCCTACCTAAGGAGACCTCAGTACCAGTCTTACCATCGGGGTTCGTCCCTGGGGCACCTCCCTGCTGCTGCAGGACCCCCGCAGCAATAGAGTTGGGCCAGAATCTTTGGGTGGGCCGGTGCTGAGACTTGATCTTCTTGGCTTTGGGGGCAGGGTCTGGATTGCTGGCATCTAGCATGGGCTGCAGGATGCGCCTCCGGGCGTTGATGAACCTGTCAGGGGTGAAGGTGGAGACTGGTGAGGGGCAGGGGAGGGGAGAGGAAATGAGGCTGCTCCTAAGTCTGCAGTAGACAAGGCAGATGGGGTTTCTTTCCATCTAGGGGTAAAAGGCTGCCTGGTGAAAGGCCTCAGGCACTGAGATGCTCGTGGAATCAGCTGGAGCTTGGTAACCACAGGCTGCCTGAGAAGCAAGACAGGCAAGGCGTCTGAAATTCCTGCTCAAGTTCAGGATGGAACAGGGGAGGAAAAAGTTATAGTCATAGACACCAACTTCTGTTGCTGTCTCTCTTGACGGTGGATTGTGCCACGGTGGAACTTCAAAACTAGGAGACACTCCCATCTAGCCAGACCTGGCCCATTTTCAGCTTCGTTGGGGCAGCCAGAAGGAGCCAAGGGGAAAGCAGAGATCTCTATGGGGTCCAGATGGCAAATCTCCCTCCTCCTCTCCAGCCTTTGTGGGGTGTATGCATGTGTGTGCGCCTGTACTGGGGCTTGAACTCAGGGTCTGGGAACTGTCCGTTAGCTAGATTTTTCTCAAAGCTGCCTTTACCACCATTTTTAGGTTTTTACGGGTTAACTAGAAATATGGGTCTTACGGGCTTTCCTATGCAGGCTGGCTTCAAATTGTGATCCTCAGACCTCAGCTTCCTGAGTAGCTAAGATTACAGGCATTAGCCACCAGCAGAGGGTGCTAAGAAGCCGCAGATGAAGCCAAGGGCCAGGGTTGATTCTGGCTCTGCATCCAGTCCTCTTAGGAGCAGGACTGCTCTGGCAGCTGGATTGAGAGTGAGGCAGGCCTGGGCCTCTCTCCTCCCTGCTACCCTTGCCAAGCCTGTGCCCCTGGATCTGAGTGCTTTGGGGCAGATGATGTTAACTCACCAGTTGTTTACTTGCAGGAGTGTGAGGTTTGTCTGGGCTGCGATCTGCCTCTTCTCATCCTCCGTAGGGTAGGGGTGCTGAAATGAGAGCGTGGCTAATGAGGAACAGGCCTGCAGTGTCTCTGAAGAATATATCCAAGACAAAGGCACAATCCTGGGCCAGGCAGCCCCACTGGCTTAGGGAAAGTGTAATGTATGTTCCTCAAAGCCAGGGGGCCTAGGGCTTGGACAGAGACTGCCCCATGCCTGAGGCTCATGTTCTGGGACACATGGCCCCCAGCCCAGCCCCACAGTAGGCACTAGACTGGTTTCTGGGTCAGTTCAGCGTTTGTAGATTTCAAGTTTTTCACATCCTTCTGGCTTATGCAGCTGACAGGAATCCTCAGTGCTAGGATTCACAGCTGCCAGAGAAACCCACAGACGGAGGTGAATGGAGTGTTTCATTTGAAACACTTCAATGGAAATGAACTGATATTTTCTGAATAACTGCTAGGTGTCCGGATGTATGCAAGGCCTTCTTAGGAGCCAGTCTTCTGTTGGCATAGGACTTTATAACCCATGAAATGCTTCCATAACAATTTCTTTTGTTTAATCAAGCCTACCCTTAAGACTTGAGCGGACAGAGTTGGGCACTGGTGGCTCACACCTATAATCTTTGCTACTCAGGAGGCTAAGATCTGAGGATTACAATTTGAAGCCAGCTTGGGTAGAAAAGTCTTTGAGACTCTTATCTCCAATTACCTAGCCAAAAAGCCAAGATAGAGGTATGGCTCAAGGGACGGAGAGCTAGTCTTAAGGGAAAAATGCTAAAGCTGAGCACCTTGGCCCTGAGTTCAAGCCCTAGTACCAACACACACACACACACACACACACACACATACACACACACACACACACACACACACACACACACACACACACAGAACTTTAGCAGACAGGCTGGTGAGGTTTTATATGCCCATTCCTAGATGAAGGAATGGAATGACTTCTTCAATGTCATTTTATGACCTAGTTGACTGTCACCCAGTCATCTTCATGGTGCTACTTTTTAAGACTGAGTCAGTCAGTGTCTCTGTGGAAAGTCAAGTGGTGTGGATGTCTCCTGTGCGCTCAGACATTTCAGCTCTTGTATTGCTCCCTCTCTGAGACTATGTCTCATGAAGGCTGAATGTCCAGCCACCGATGGCTCAGACCTGGAATCCTGGTTACTCAGGAGCCTGAGATCTAAGGATTGAGGTTCAAAGCCAGCCTGAGAAGAAAGTCTGTGAGACTGTGAGCAGAAATGAAGTGGAGGTATGGCACAAGTGGTAGAGCAGCAGCCTTGAGCAAAAGAAGCCCAGCAAGGGCTTGAGGCCTTGAGTCCAAGCTCTTGAGTCCAAGCGTGTGTGTGTGTGTGTGTGTGTGTGTACGCGTGCGTATACACATATACACACACTTACTAATATGTCCCCAGCGTTCCCCCACACAAGTGGCTGCTGACCAAAGGAGATGCTGTAGATGGCCAGAGCAGGAGACAATGTAGCTTGGGCAATGTGCTCCATGGAAGCTTGAGGAAGGTAAGTCTGTAGTAGCCAATGTTGTGTCACAGTAAATAAAGAAATAGTCAGGGAAGGAAGGTTTAGAGCACATTGGGTGGTAAGATAACTGTGTCTACACATATCCAGATCTTTCCCAGGATTTGGCACAGTGCCTGGCAACCAGTAGGCATGGGTGGATCTGAATAGGTCAAAGCTTTGTCCTGGAAGTTAGGGGAGACTTTGGGAGACACTTGGGAACTTTAGGGGAGGATGGCCAAGACCCCTAGCATCCTCAAAACAGAATCATTCCTTTTAATTGCATTGCTAACAGAAAATGGTTCCTGGGATTTCTAGAGGCCCAGAAAAAAATGGGGCTCACAAAGTGACTGTCATGACTAACTGTGAGATCACGGGCATGTCACTTACCCGGACATCATAACATCATCCAACGACTAAATGAAATCATACTTGTAAAATGCTCAAAGGTAGCTCTTCAGACTGTTATGCTAGCGTGATGTGGGCCAGGTACTTAAAGCTCTCAAAGGAAAGAGTTTGAGATCAACCATTTGGGGGAGGACTCTCATTAGCAGTGACAAAGGAAAGCGATGTCTTCTCTTCTGCTAGCCTCAGCATCCCCTGACTGAAGTGCTCGGGACCCTGTGTTGTTTTAATTCACACCTCTGACCCTGACCGCCACACCAGGGCAGCTGGGACTTGTGATTCATACAATATTAAGATTCTAACAAGGAGAAAGCACATTCGTGTTACTGGAGCCAATTTCAGGCTAATTGGGAAGCGCAGAGGATGGCTGGATGGAGAGATTATAGGCCCCAAGGGGCAGAGAGGCGGGGACTGGGAGACACCCGGGGAAGGAGGCATGTCTTTGGGCTCCACAGGGCCCCAATCCCCCCTGTCTTGAGAAACATCCACGCAGCCTCCCATCCATGGCTAGAAATCCATGAACAAAGTAGATTTTCCTCATTATCCACAGGGGATTGGTGCTAGGACACCCCAGCCTCCATGGAGGCCCAAGTCCCTTATAGAAGATGACGCAATTCCTGCCTAGAACCTTTACACATCTGCCCTCATACTTTAAGCCATCTCTAGATGACAGTGGACATACTATGCAGATGGCTGGTGTGCCATATTGTTTAGGGAATAATACCCAAAAAAGATCTGTGTGTGTTCACTGTGGAGACCTATTTTTCACTAATTTTCAATCCGGTTAGTCACATCCACAGATGCAGATCCCATAGGCCAACCATATGAACACAATACAACAACCTTTAGACCTTTATGTCCTGTACCCATGGCTCCCTGAGGTGGCCAAGAACTCTGTTGGGCAGGGACCTAGTCTCATTAGATGCCATTTCTCCACTGTCCAGACAAATGACAGGCAAAGAGGTCATGTTTCAACATGGTGTAGGAATGGATGAGGGAATAAACACCAGAGCTGGGCTGGTCTTGTTGGCTTTGGGGGGGTCTTCGGCCCACCCAGGCTGAGTGTCCACCGAATCCTGGGTGTTGAAACTGAGAGTTGCCTGAAGTTAAGTACTCAGAGCTGAGATGGGAAGGAAATAGGGTGGAAATGACTGACGGACGGACTGATTGATCGATTGTGCTAGTACTGGGCCTTGAACTCTTGACTATTTTACTCAAGGCTTGTACTCTACTACTTGAATCATCCCTCCATTTTGGACTCTTTGCTAGTTAATTAGAGATGAGAGCCTCTTGGATTTGTCTCTCTAGGCTGCCTTCGAGCCACAATCCTCAGATCTCAGTCTTCTGAGTAGGTAGGATTATAGGCGTGAGCCACCAGTACCTGGTTGGAAAGTGTTCTATTAAAGGATAGTGCATGCCAAGTACCCCCTGAGTCACAGAAGGGTGGGCGAGACCGGTCTGGCAAGGCTTCTCTTTGAAGAATAGCCTGGCTATTCCAGAAAGGAGCGCATGCGCATTTCTAGCAGAAGCCTATGATACCCTCTGTCCCCAGGGAGGTGTCCATGGGCCCCTACTGCGTGGATGTCACAAACTCCCAAGTCAGCAATGTCCTATCCAAGGGAGAGAGAGCTAAAAGACGTTTGCTCCACACTGGCGGGTTGCTCTCTTATGGAGAAGGGCATGGACTCCTTGTGACTCTCCCGGTACCATCCCCACCACTTCCCCTCCCTGGATGCAGCCCCTCAGGACCACAGGGTGGAGGCTGTGGGTGATGAGTAGCCTTTAGTCCTGCTCTGGGAACAGGTGTGTTGGCCAGAACATTCTTGGCACTACATCCGAGTGCTCATGGGAGCAGTCCAGCTTGTACATGGCTCAGACCACATGATTCCTGAGGACACAGTCAAAATAGTCCTGGCTCCTGGACAGACTGCACGCACGGGTCAGCGCTACTTTTAGCACAATTGGAAAAGCTTAGGGCCAAGGACAGGGGGAGGAATGTGATGAGCTCATGCGCAGCCATCAAGCCATGGACGTTGCTGTTAGATCGAGATCTGGAAGAATTCCTACGCAGGGCCCCATAGACAGTTCTTTGAAAAGAAGGCCAAGAACAGATCGGAAAGCTCCAGATATCTTCTCAGGGCTTGAAGAATCCCATGATGGGACAAGTACTGCCTGGTAGAAAGGAGCTGTTAGAGATGGAGGTCAAGCTTGGTCCCAGCATTTGGGGGCTGTGAGACCTTGGCCGCTTGTTATATGCTTTCACATGGAGAAAGTAAAAGATCGCCTGCCTATTGGACTTGGGATGAGTTAGTGAACTGATGTAGTTAGTTATGGGTGTTCATTGACTCACTCTGTGCCACGTACTCAAACCTCGCAGACAATACAGAGTTGAACACTGAAGGTTTGCAGAAGAAGGAACTGCAGTGTTTACATTAAGTTAGCATTTCATGGTATCATCATTGTCACCAAGAAGTTCTTTTGACATGTGACCTAAACTGTATTCCTTCTTTCTTTCCTTCCCTCCCTCCTTCCTTCCTTCTCTCTCCTTCCTTCCTTCCTTCCTTCCTTTCTTTCTTTCTTTTTATTGCCTGCTTGCATTTTTTCTCTCTCTTTTCTTTTCCTTCCCTCTCTCCCTTCCTCCCTCCATCCCTCCCTCCCTTCCTTCCTCCCTTCCTCCCTTCTTCCCTTCCTGTTCCTTAGCTTTTTCTAGTACTCTACCACTTGAATCACATCTCCACTTGTGGCTTTTTGTGGTTAATTGGAGATAAAAAAATCTCAGACTTTTTCTGACCAGGCTGGCTTTGAAGTGCAATCTTCAGATCTTCAGATCTCAGCCTTCTTAGATTAGCTAGGGTTGCATGCATGAGTCACCAGCACTGGCTTACCCCAGCTCTTTCTGACTCTTCCCTTCATGGCCCTCAACTCCAATCCTCAATGGAAAGCAGCTTCCAGTTTGAAGAGAGGAGTTCTCAGAGCCTGGTCAGAAGGAAGTTGCTAGATGGCTGGCAGTTTTCATCAACACTCTCCCTGTGATTGTCCTTCCACTTCCTACCCCAGGCATACGTTCCCACAAAGCTGGCCAAGTCACCAGGGGGCAGGGCCCGTGGAGATACGAGGCCT